CCCATACGAAAAATTAATATCTTTTGATAAAATCTTTTTAGAATAAATAAAGATGAAACATAGATTACAAGCCAAAATTCATTTAACTTTAATTTTTGTGCCATGAAATAGTTTTTTGTAAGCGGGGGTATCTTTGATCACTAGATCACCTATTTATATTTATACATTCATGGTTTAGCATGGGTATAGAGTGATGGGAGTCCGTCCGTCCGGCTGTCCCGTCCGTCTTAAATTCCGTGTTTGTATTCACAATTCCAACCTCCTTAGCCACTTATCATAATGAAATGAAACTTCATATTCCTGACCATACAATGCCATTTTTCCACTTCATATTTTTTGATTTTGGTCAAAATTATTTTTGGGGTTTCTATTTCCTAAAACATATTGGGAACCCATATTGTATCCGCAACTCATGATTAAAATTTTAATGAATCTTTTTTTGATTCGTTATCATAAAAGTCCATTGTGCAACTTATATTTGGTTTAGGGTTAAAATACTTAAGTTTATGAAATTCTATAGAAAATATCTCTTTTCAAGATAATGGAAAACCAAACCTTTTTGAAAGGTATTTGTGTTTGTTTCTTAGAGACAACGTAATAAATACACATGCACCCTTCCTATATTTAAATGATTTTTTAATCATAAAGTATATCCAATATAATTACATCAATTATGTGAAAAGCTGGGACATTTTTAGTGACCCCAACCGATATTTGACACACATTAAGTGTTCCCCTTTTTTGCGAACCCACTTAAAATTCCAGGATCCCTTATTTTTTAACTATCTGAATAAATTCAATGTTGATCTTATGGATAATTGTGTTTTTCACTGTTGTTTCGTTGCTGTCTTGTGGAAGAATATATATCTAAAATCTTCGTTTAATCATCAATAATATTAATGGCTATGTTTCGGGTATTTCTAACACTCGTTTCTTCGCATAGAAACAACTACTCGTTAATCTGAGCATGGAACGAATACTTTATATCACGAACTATAAATGTTGATGCAAAAGTTGAAAAACTAAGCGAAATTGTTTATTCACAATGCATGAAAAAATCTGTTATATTTCAGTAAATAACACGTGTTCTCGGTTGATCGTCAACACGTAGTAGTCCATCATGCATTGTTACCCATTTATTGAATTGGTCAAACACCCAGGTAAAAACAATTGCGTCATACGTAACTGAACAATTATATTTGCGAGGACATTAGTATAATTATTTATGCATATCCATATAAGGTAGTGTTCCCGACCTGTCCAATGTATTTAATTAACAACGAAATAAATAATCTGTAACCTTCAATACGATCCTTTTGAAATAATAATCAAAAAATGAATAAATGTGTGGTGCTTTATTACTGTGTGACCAATCATAGTATAGTACGCTTGATCAGACTACTCTTCACAGTAGGAGCAGTTGAACATTGTTCTTGATTTCCATTTCTAGAACGATAACACATTATATCTTAAGAAGCACGAATCTTGCAATCTTATGGGTTAATCACCCGGGTGTAGATAACACCCCACCCTAGTTCAATAGGGGATACAAAATTATGCCAAAAATTTCCCTCAAAAAATGTTTTCCACAAATTATGAAAATTAAAATCTTGGAAAAAAGTAATCATAGAAATAATAAAAAAAATATATTAAAAAAAATGCAAAAAACAAAAAAAAAATCCAGGTGAAGAAAAAAAATATTCTCCAATATTCCCCTAATAATTAAATTTTCAAACTGTCCACAAATAAAAAAAAATAAATAGATAGTATTTGATAATGCACAGCAACGTCGGTGTTGAAAAATGTGTAGTGGAAGTTCGTCATAAGATTTCAATTGTATTCCCGGGAATAAAAATAGTAAACGAACGCTAAATAAGAAATTAATTCGTAATCTTGGTGCAATCAGGGGTGTACGGAATTTTACACCGGTGTTGAAAATGCATACGCCCTTCGGCTGCTCCTCAGGGTGTAAAGATTTGCAACACCTGTGTAAAATTCTGTACACTCCTCATTACACCAAGATAGCTAGTATTACCATCAAGACAAATAGTAAATGAAACATTAAGGATATATTTTCTGTAAAAAAAAACACATTTACCCGCTTTACACTATGTGTACGTACGTCTCAGTCCAACATGTTTGAGTTCGCATAAAGATTGTTTACATCACGATATATTTACTGTATGAAATCAATATCGATACACTACCATGAAGATTTCTGAATGCAAATGAACGATGACAGTGTTCCCCTACTACTGATGACTTCTAATGAATTGTACGTGCTAATGCAGCATTATCAAATTGGTTTTGCATAGTTTCGTGCTTTGAAAAGTACTTTATTTGAACCTTTTCATTATTTTTTAAACGTAAATAAACTGACATATTAAATTTTATGCCATATGAATTTTGTTTTTTCACTCGATAAAACAAGGACACACTCGAAAAAACACGGACTGCTCTCGAAATAACACGGACATATACAAATGAATTTACTCTCCAAAATGTCCTTTTCAATGCAAATTCAAGAATTTTTGTAAAGTGTCTGTATATCTAAATATATATAGATTCCATGTGCATTGGTATGTGTATAAAATGGCTTTAATCTATATTTTGGATTAAAGCATTCTAAGGCTAAATTTAACGTTTTTAAATCAAAATAATGTAGGGTTGATAATATTTTTTATCAAAAATACTAATTTACCTTCTACAATCTTGTATATCAGGTTCTAGCATCTTTTTCACGTTTTATCAGAAAGGAAGTCGGTTTGTTTACATTATTGATCATATTCACTCGAAAAAAAGTGGTCACACTCGAAAAAAACCGATCAAATCACTCTAAAAAACCAAGATCCCAGCCGGACACTATACCTACCGTGAATTAAATAGGGCAACAAACCTCATCAAAGAAACCGTGCTTATAATTTTCTACGCCAGATGCGCGTTTCGTATACAAAAGACTCATCAGTGACAAACTTGAAAAAAGACATAACTTACCGACAATTGTATTGCAAGATACACATAAAACAATACGATTATTTAGACAAAATGTACATGATATATGTTAGATAACTTATCAGTATAGTACAAATGATTCGAATGCACTTTTATCAATTTCGGTTAACAGAAAACAAATGGTCAAATTGGAAGCTCTTATCACTAAACTATTACTGATGATACATCATCTTTATGACACAAGGGAAATGTTACATGAAAGAATGATATCTACAAAATGAAAACAAAAATTAACACTATGGCAATGAATGCGTCTTGTTCTGTCTAAGGGTTAAATTGTTCTTTAATTACGCGTGACCTTTTTCATACACCATGTAAACACAGGTATAAACATGCATTAACAGCAAACTAGACTGCAGTAAGAACATTATTATAACATGACTGGCAAGGTTTCCCGTAACTTGGTCCGCAATTCTTTTTTGAACTGTTGCAATAAACCATGCCACTCCAACCTTGGAATTTACCTAATGTACCAAGCCGCTGCATTTTACTGATTGTTTGCTCTTTAATAGTTCTACAAGATGGACAGTTTGCACCGTTGTCTGGACCACAGTGTCCATTAGTACGTGATGTTGCGGGATGATTGTGGTTTGTCATTACTCTTCGTCCGCAATACAAGAACCCAGTTTCTTTGCTTACTTTTGGTTTGTAATCATTAGTAATACATGGAGGAAATAGTAAGTTAAGGACGACCTTATCGAGCTCACTTAAGCCTTCAATGTTTTGATCTTCTACTTGAAAAGTCCAAACACCCTTTTCAATCAGATTTATCGACCCTAACAAAAGAATACTATACGGATCAAATCTCTTGATGATTTGGCTCTGGTTTTTATCTTGTATCTTACTTTTTGCAAGTGTCGAGTACAATCTCGTCATCTCATGATGAAATCCTATGCCTTGTAGAATTGCAAGCATCGAAGCTGCTTGCTTTAGCTTGGATGTTCCTTTAAAATTTTGACCAAGGGCAATTTCCGCTGCATAATGCGATCCACTTTTAACCCAAGATGTATAAATATTATTTGGTAAAACATATTGGGAACCCATATTGTATCCGCAACTCATGATTAAAATTTTAATGAATCTTTTTTTGATTCGTTATCATAAAAGTCCATTGTGCAACTTATATTTGGTTTAGGGTTAAAATACTTAAGTTTATGAAATTCTATAGAAAATATCTCTTTTCAAGATAATGGAAAACCAAACCTTTTTGAAAGGTATTTGTGTTTGTTTCTTAGAGACAACGTAATAAATACACATGCACCCTTCCTATATTTAAATGATTTTTTAATCATAAAGTATATCCAATATAATTACATCAATTATGTGAAAAGCTGGGACATTTTTAGTGACCCCAACCGATATTTGACACACATTAAGTGTTCCCCTTTTTTGCGAACCCACTTAAAATTCCAGGATCCCTTATTTTTTAACTATCTGAATAAATTCAATGTTGATCTTATGGATAATTGTGTTTTTCACTGTTGTTTCGTTGCTGTCTTGTGGAAGAATATATATCTAAAATCTTCGTTTAATCATCAATAATATTAATGGCTATGTTTCGGGTATTTCTAACACTCGTTTCTTCGCATAGAAACAACTACTCGTTAATCTGAGCATGGAACGAATACTTTATATCACGAACTATAAATGTTGATGCAAAAGTTGAAAAACTAAGCGAAATTGTTTATTCACAATGCATGAAAAAATCTGTTATATTTCAGTAAATAACACGTGTTCTCGGTTGATCGTCAACACGTAGTAGTCCATCATGCATTGTTACCCATTTATTGAATTGGTCAAACACCCAGGTAAAAACAATTGCGTCATACGTAACTGAACAATTATATTTGCGAGGACATTAGTATAATTATTTATGCATATCCATATAAGGTAGTGTTCCCGACCTGTCCAATGTATTTAATTAACAACGAAATAAATAATCTGTAACCTTCAATACGATCCTTTTGAAATAATAATCAAAAAATGAATAAATGTGTGGTGCTTTATTACTGTGTGACCAATCATAGTATAGTACGCTTGATCAGACTACTCTTCACAGTAGGAGCAGTTGAACATTGTTCTTGATTTCCATTTCTAGAACGATAACACATTATATCTTAAGAAGCACGAATCTTGCAATCTGATTGGTTAATCACCCGGGTGTAGATAACACCCCACCCTAGTTCAATAGGGGATACAAAATTATGCCAAAAATTTCCCTCAAAAAATGTTTTCCACAAATTATGAAAATTAAAATCTTGGAAAAAAGTAATCATAGAAATAATAAAAAAAATATATTAAAAAAAATGCAAAAAACAAAAAAAAAATCCAGGTGAAGAAAAAAAATATTCTCCAATATTCCCCTAATAATTAAATTTTCAAACTGTCCACAAATAAAAAAAAATAAATAGATAGTATTTGATAATGCACAGCAACGTCGGTGTTGAAAAATGTGTAGTGGAAGTTCGTCATAAGATTTCAATTGTATTCCCGGGAATAAAAATAGTAAACGAACGCTAAATAAGAAATTAATTCGTAATCTTGGTGCAATCAGGGGTGTACGGAATTTTACACCGGTGTTGAAAATGCATACGCCCTTCGGCTGCTCCTCAGGGTGTAAAGATTTGCAACACCTGTGTAAAATTCTGTACACTCCTCATTACACCAAGATAGCTAGTATTACCATCAAGACAAATAGTAAATGAAACATTAAGGATATATTTTCTGTAAAAAAAAACACATTTACCCGCTTTACACTATGTGTACGTACGTCTCAGTCCAACATGTTTGAGTTCGCATAAAGATTGTTTACATCACGATATATTTACTGTATGAAATCAATATCGATACACTACCATGAAGATTTCTGAATGCAAATGAACGATGACAGTGTTCCCCTACTACTGATGACTTCTAATGAATTGTACGTGCTAATGCAGCATTATCAAATTGGTTTTGCATAGTTTCGTGCTTTGAAAAGTACTTTATTTGAACCTTTTCATTATTTTTTAAACGTAAATAAACTGACATATTAAATTTTATGCCATATGAATTTTGTTTTTTCACTCGATAAAACAAGGACACACTCGAAAAAACACGGACTGCTCTCGAAATAACACGGACATATACAAATGAATTTACTCTCCAAAATGTCCTTTTCAATGCAAATTCAAGAATTTTTGTAAAGTGTCTGTATATCTAAATATATATAGATTCCATGTGCATTGGTATGTGTATAAAATGGCTTTAATCTATATTTTGGATTAAAGCATTCTAAGGCTAAATTTAACGTTTTTAAATCAAAATAATGTAGGGTTGATAATATTTTTTATCAAAAATACTAATTTACCTTCTACAATCTTGTATATCAGGTTCTAGCATCTTTTTCACGTTTTATCAGAAAGGAAGTCGGTTTGTTTACATTATTGATCATATTCACTCGAAAAAAAGTGGTCACACTCGAAAAAAACCGATCAAATCACTCTAAAAAACCAAGATCCCAGCCGGACACTATACCTACCGTGAATTAAATAGGGCAACAAACCTCATCAAAGAAACCGTGCTTATAATTTTCTACGCCAGATGCGCGTTTCGTATACAAAAGACTCATCAGTGACAAACTTGAAAAAAGACATAACTTACCGACAATTGTATTGCAAGATACACATAAAACAATACGATTATTTAGACAAAATGTACATGATATATGTTAGATAACTTATCAGTATAGTACAAATGATTCGAATGCACTTTTATCAATTTCGGTTAACAGAAAACAAATGGTCAAATTGGAAGCTCTTATCACTAAACTATTACTGATGATACATCATCTTTATGACACAAGGGAAATGTTACATGAAAGAATGATATCTACAAAATGAAAACAAAAATTAACACTATGGCAATGAATGCGTCTTGTTCTGTCTAAGGGTTAAATTGTTCTTTAATTACGCGTGACCTTTTTCATACACCATGTAAACACAGGTATAAACATGCATTAACAGCAAACTAGACTGCAGTAAGAACATTATTATAACATGACTGGCAAGGTTTCCCGTAACTTGGTCCGCAATTCTTTTTTGAACTGTTGCAATAAACCATGCCACTCCAACCTTGGAATTTACCTAATGTACCAAGCCGCTGCATTTTACTGATTGTTTGCTCTTTAATAGTTCTACAAGATGGACAGTTTGCACCGTTGTCTGGACCACAGTGTCCATTAGTACGTGATGTTGCGGGATGATTGTGGTTTGTCATTACTCTTCGTCCGCAATACAAGAACCCAGTTTCTTTGCTTACTTTTGGTTTGTAATCATTAGTAATACATGGAGGAAATAGTAAGTTAAGGACGACCTTATCGAGCTCACTTAAGCCTTCAATGTTTTGATCTTCTACTTGAAAAGTCCAAACACCCTTTTCAATCAGATTTATCGACCCTAACAAAAGAATACTATACGGATCAAATCTCTTGATGATTTGGCTCTGGTTTTTATCTTGTATCTTACTTTTTGCAAGTGTCGAGTACAATCTCGTCATCTCATGATGAAATCCTATGCCTTGTAGAATTGCAAGCATCGAAGCTGCTTGCTTTAGCTTGGATGTTCCTTTAAAATTTTGACCAAGGGCAATTTCCGCTGCATAATGCGATCCACTTTTAACCCAAGATGTATAAATATTATTTGGTAATTCCACGTTGTCAATTATAACAACATCAGCTTCGGGTCGATCTTTAGTAACAGCTAGGACTAACCCTGACACGTGCATATTCAATTCTTCAACCGACGACATAACGAAAGGTCTCTTGTTTGATTTGATTTCTATGAAAACTCGAACAATTTTCGGAATATCGGATCTACTTAATTCATTCATCATCTGATTTTTGTAAAAAAAGATCAGTGCTTGTGTATCATTTTTATTTTTTAAAGTCTTCAGTTTACCCTCCAACATACAAATTTCATTTCTTAATGTTGTTCCATGGCTGAGTACAGATTCGAAAACTGTACCTGACAACACATCTTCTTCATCTACAAAGACACGTCTTACTCTGTAATGTGAAAAAAAAATGGGTTTTTTTGTTTATTATTTTTTAAAGTAAACGTTTTGTTCTTTAAGGGTAAAATGACGCTTTACTAAATTCTGTCTAGCAATACAAGCTGATTTAGTATTGAAAAGATGACAGCCAGAGAGCCATTCGTAGAAAAAAAACTAGCCCTGATTGGTGTATTGTTTTCAAAACGCGTATGTCCTAGATAGAATATGTATTAGTTATCATATCTCTGATTACTGTTATTATATTTTCTGCTACATGTAGTTGCCAAAGCGTGTACGTTTGTTTTTGTAGTTTTACTAGTACTTATGCATCATAGGGTTATTGTGTGTATTCTTCTCTAACCAAATGATATCTTCATGAGATATTTCGCATGTTTCAATGATGATTTAAATTGAATGATGAAAGATACAATGTTAATTCATAAAGCAATACAGCTTACTCATCAATGAATATCAGGTAAATCTATGTAGTTTTATGCCAGGAGCGTCATAATTCATGAGGATCTGTCATTGAGACATGAAGTTTGTACATACATTTTATACCCTCTCCCAGAAACAAAATCCTTAAAATAATGTAGTATTGCATTTGTAATAGGCATTTGACTACGTATAAACTATGTATAAACCCCAGGGTTTTATTTACGCCATTATTAATCAGACAATTTAAAAAAAAACCCAAAAAAATGAAGAAGAATGATATTTTTTTCTAAAATAGACTTTTGTATTTATTAATGATCATTAATTAGCTTTCTTTGATTTACCTATATTTGGTGAAGTTGTACACTGTTTATTATGTATTATAAGTGATTGGAGAAACAATCAATAATTAGAAGTATACAGGTAATAGATTTAAATCATGAAATGATATAAAAACAAAATCACTTGCACTTTCTGTATACTCAGTACTAAAAGGACAAGGTATGATAACGGGCGTTTTTGGTCCCCTCCACAAATAAATTTATAAATTTTTATTATTGATAACCTGTGTATAGAAGCTTGAGTGTACAATGTTTTTTGATGTCCCGGTGAAAAGAAGGTTGCCTAGCAATGGTTTTTATTAAATAACCAAATAATCACTTATGAATTGTTTTATCGATACAAATTAGCATAATTTCAAATAGGATTGTTTGTTAAAGAATAACCTCAAGTGAAAAGTCACATCAATTTCAGTTTACTAAATGCTTAGCAACAAAATAGCAACAAAAACAATGCTTAGCAACGGTTCAAAAATTTGTTATTTTTTGCCCTCTGATACAAATATAGCACTGTTTGAAGATTTAGCTTCCATAAACGGTTTTTCATTCCTATATGCTATCGTCATTCTTTTCCTAAGTTCATATTGAGCTTAGCATCACACATGTTGCTTAGCGACAGCTATAAATGATTCAGTTAAAGACAACCATCAAAAGGAATTTGTAATTTTATTTTCGTATAAGAAGAAGTAACAGTAAGGAATAAAAGTTATTTATTCAATTGTAGTTTATGTTTATCAACAGCATAGCAACAAAATTAGTGATTAGCAACAGTTGAATAATTGGTTCTTTTTGTTTTCTTAGGTATGAATTTGGCAATTTGTATAAAATTAGAATTTTCTATCATATATGAATTACACTATAACATAAAAACTGGATATCATGTTTTTCAACCTTTTCCAAAAGGACATCACTCTGTATGTATGTAATAACACGCTGTCGTCTGCACTGCTGTAAACCTTTTTTTCCCTGTTTTTATTACAGTGCACGTACAGCATATCATCTTTAAGATAGGTATATGTCTTGGTAAAGTGATTTATATTTTTAGTACGTGATATTATGATTAATTATGAACCCCGGAATAATCTCGTAACCGGGCCGTTTCATTTGACTTATTCTATTGACTCCCTTAGACAAGAAACTTGTATCTACGTAGGCCATTCTTTTTTATGAAACTACGCAGGACCAACTCTTTCTTGTCTTTAAGTTTGGAATGGGGAATACTTGTGAAAGTGTAGAAAAGTCAAATGTTTTAATACTATTGCAAGATGAAAGAGTCATAGATTAATATTGTATGTACTCTTAAAGATCTTTGGAATTTTTTAGTATTCACATCTGATTCACGCCACCTCTGGAGTAGGTAGTTTCACAAAACTTTGAAGCCCGGCTTTGATTGGTGATAAAATTTACAAATTACTCTACGTTGATAATTCAGAAAGAAGTTTCGTGGAGCACTTGGAAAACCCAGCAATATAACGTTGTTTGTAAGGACACTTATGTAGTTTAGATATCCAAAATAGTGAACATGGTGAAGGAAGGTCTAGTTCTTCATCTTATTACGATTTGCGGATATGCATTTGTAAAGATATGTATTAAAACAGATGAAATCAACCTATATCTTTATAAAAAATGGACAACTTGAATGTAATCATTTTCTTTCTAAAAATAGCAACAATCAACATTCAATATATATAGGAGTTGATAAGTTAGAAAATAAACTGATGCATTTACTGAATTAAATTATATAAATGCCCAAGAATGTAACTTTAACATGCTATTGGATGGCAGCACGCGCCGGATGAAGCTAACTTGTTTAGCGTGAATATTTAAAATATAAAACTATTTTTATAACACTCATTAGCGTGTTAAAGTGTTGAAGTTACATTCTTAGGCATTTATTTGTATATGTAATCTGAAAATGTGACTGACTTGATTTCAACTTTGCCCATCAATGCTCTGATATCATCTTCTTTGGCCATCGACTTTGTGTACTTAAAAGTGAGTGGTGTTGGGATATAAGGAATTTTTATCTTTCCAAAACTGCATTCTAATGACTTCATTTCAAGTAGTAAACCAATAGTGTCTTTGCTTGTCCTAATTTCTGCCTCCTTACACCTTAGACTTTTGGTAAATTCCTTGGCATCATTTGTCTTCTTCACTGCTTCATTTAACAAAACTTTCTGGTTTGATGACTTTGTATTTAACTCTTGTATCATCTGATCAACCACTTTATCAACCGACATTTTTATCACCTCGCCACCTCTTTGAATACTTTCTTCTGTTGAATTTACGCTTTCATTTAACATGACTTCGTATTGACATATCTGATTACCACTATTTTCAAGTTCAAGGACTTCGTCAGTATTAAGGGTTGAATTTAGATAAGCTAAAATCATTTTTTTCTTTTTTGAAACAGTTTCTTCAATATCCGCCATTGAGTGCCCTTTGTGGCTTTTTACTGTGCATATTTTACATTCGTCACAAACAAAGACATATGATTCGTTATGGTCTTGACAGAAGAGTGATGTGTCTGATGTCGCACTTTCAGAGTTCTTAAAACAATGATCTCGACAAACAGCAATTCGCAAATGACTCGTTTTGCAATTTAGACAAAAATACTGATTGCAATCTAAACAAAATTGGCTTCCACGTGCGCTCCTGCACATTTCACAGACATTTTGTTTTGCACTTTGAGCCATATTTTTAGATCACATCACATCTGAAACATAAAAAGAAAAAGAAAAATTCAATAAAAATTTTAAAATGGAGAAAAGACCAACTGCTGTACATATGCCTTCAAAAACTCAACACAGTAAAAATAATTAAATTGACAAAACGGAACACCAAAGAACAATGAAACACAAAAAACTACATGGCTTTCACATCAATAATCTAATTTGAATTAACTTACTTATACCCTTCCTTTCCATTACATCATTTTTGTGCTTTAATAGTATTGTTTGAGTTTTTTTTTTATCAAATACTTATAAGTGTAGATATTTATCTTTTTGTATATATTTCATTTTTATATAATTAAGACGGTAATGAGTATGTGAACGCCATAAGAAGGCAATACATATTAATATGACCATCAAATGTTTTGGTTTTTTTTTCTTTTAATTTTCGTGTTGATTATAGCATGTATGGATGCATTCCGCAATAACACGTGATATATTCCGAATGTCACAGTGCATTCATAAGCCAACAATCTATATGCATGGATCATGAAGGGTTCACGCAATAACAAAAAAACAAAATTATGGCAGACGGCAACACACGACTACCACTGAATAACAGACTCTAAGACTTGTAGGCATATGAAAATTGTATAGAGTTGTTTTTTTTGTTAATCTATATGTAATCATTGAATTTCTATTAATATAAAACAAGTTTTTTTTGGTTTGATTTTGTTAATTTCATGGGCATTATTTTTCACGAGTAGAAGTCAATTTAATACTACATAATGGATGAATATGTTGCTATATGATGACATATCGTTGTATAAGTGCGGATAGTCAAAAGTGATACATTTACCCTGCTTAATCTGCGTTACATGATAAGTTTTATTCACATTAATTTCTATGTATGATATGATGTCAATTTATGTAATAGTTATACACCGAAGGATAGGTGTGTCTGGATAAGACACGCCGTATCCCGAGGTGTATAACTAACTTACATCCAATGCTAAACCCTATATTTGTTAACATTGATTATAAAATGAAAAAGAATGGATAGCATATTTATTGACATAATCGAACCATGAATTATAAGAAAATTTTTTTTTTTTACATGAAACCCCACTAGTAACCTTACTTTGGCTATGTTCTTTCAAACTTTGACAAGTGAGTAGATTTTACAAATGTCAAAGTTGCTGTTTTGCATATTCCCGTTACATCCTGGTGCTAATATGGATCAGAAGTTCAAGGTTGACCGTTTTGTGCATTCTTATCACAAAAAAAATACATCATATGCTCCTTATATGCAGTTGTCAATATGGACGGGTATACGACGGACGACATTTTGAGTCAAGCGTTGGATTTGGTAGAAGGGGGAGGTAGGGGGGGTGGGGGGTATGATTTTTTTGTCGGAGTCAGAATTTTTTTTCCTCGCAAACGCGAACAATTTTATTTATTTTTTCAACGCTATCTATCAAAGGATTTTTTTTTATTCAAAATAGGTGCTTAATATTTTTTTCGCTATTGGAATTTCTTAAAATGTGTTTTTTAATATCTTGAAACAACTTGTAGTAATTTCTTATGTTCATGCTATTTAAAAAATAATCAATTTCTATTGTAATGAATAACAATGGACTGTGTTTTCATGATGTAGAAGCAGGGGTTTCCAGAAACCCCGCTCGTCACACCATGTGGTCAAAATCCATTGTTATTCGTAACAATAGATCTATTCAATTTACACTTGTTTCAGAAATAGAAACTATGAAGTATAACAATAGGGGTGTAAGTACACATGTAACTGTCGCTCATCAACTTCGTACTGTATTTGGTATTTAAATGTTTTGATTCGAGCGTCACTGATGAGTCTTTTGTAGACGAAACATGCGTTTGGCATACAAAATTATAAGCCTGATATCTTTGGTGAGTTTTTTTTTAAAAACTTAACGAGATGATATATTTGTTTCTTGTATAAAATTGTTGAACTAATATGTTATATTGCAAATTCATTAGGCAAAAACTTCAACAGTTCTTAATTTTATAGTTTTGGTGTTTTATTTTATTTAATCGCATACTTTTTTTGATTCTTTGTACAGCTATTTTTAATATATAAATTTTACACATTACATTTGAAGTTGTTGACATGCAAAAAGCTGCAATGTTTGCCGGAAGTTTGCAGCTAGCGGCCAACATCTGCAAACACTATTTTCTGTGTTCCTGCAAACTTTTTGTTTGCCGCAAGCTTGCAGCAAGTCTGCTGCAAGTTTGCGGCAAACAATTCAGTTCCATAAGGAGAAGTCCATAAAGTGAAAAAAAACACAGTAAAGGTTCAGTGTTCGACAAATGAAACAAAAAGCAATTGCGTTTGAAAAAAACCTTCACCATTGAAAGTTACTTACCGTTTCAGTTAACAAGAAAATATTTGAAAAAAAAACAAACCACCATTATAATGCAGCAAAAACGATTCCGATTTCCTTATTAAAACTTCCTTATATTTATTTTAGACGCCAGTTGTCCTTATACCTTCCGGTGACAATACTGTAAATATTTCAATAAATATTTATGTAAAAAATGTTTATTTACCATTGTGTTCTTTATCGTTCATTTATTAATAAACTTGTATGTTTGAAAACATGTCTTCTGACTTTGACATTCAATGTTTAAACCATTTTGGCTATTTTATTTAGGTCACTTTCGGTTATATGGATCCTCGGGTATTTATACATTCTTGACTAAGATCTGGGTTTGAACGTTCCTGATGAATATATTTCCAGAAAAGGGCTTTATAAAAAAAAATAAAGAAATTAATTGATACCAAGAAGTTTTTTTTTTAAAAAGTAAACAAAGTAGATACAACACAAACCTATGAGTAAAAATAGCTAACGATAACTTGACTGACCTTATTTCTTAGAATACAGTTGATTTAAAAGTATTATCTTTGTCTTTAGAACAGATGCTCGATATCCTTTCATACCGAGTACAATAGTAAATATTTAAATAAGAAGATGTGGTATGATTGCCAATGAGACAACTCTCCACAAGAGACCAAATGACACAGAAATGAACAACTAAAGGTCAACGGACGGCATTCATCAATGAATAAAGCCCATACCGCATAGTCAGCTATAAAAGACCCTGAAATGAAAAATGTAAAACAATTCAAACAAGAAAACTGACGGCCTAGCGTGCCAAACAGATCGAAAAATTCACTATAGAAATGACTTGAAAGAAGGAAGAATATAAAAAAGGGCAATCATTGTCTGAATGTTCATTTGTATTCAGTTGTCCATGACTTCTTACCTTCCAAAACAAAGTTTAACAATGAAGTTTGTAACTTCCAAGTTCATCAATATCCTGGTCAACTGGGACTTATATTCAAACCAGATTGAAACTAGCTGAAAAATATCGTTAAATGTATATCATTAATTTCAACAATGCTCAATTAAATCTATATAAATTTTGTCTCTCTGCACCAATAAGCGAGTTTCCCTTTTATGATTTAACACATCCGTCCGTACTAGATTTATGTGTAAACAGGCCATATTCACAAAAAAAAAATAGATTTTAGGTAGATGGGGGGGGGGGGGGGGGGGTCTAAATTAAAGAATTTTTTAATATTTTTTCAAAATGTGGTTTATATCATGCTTTTTTCAAAAATATGATAAAAAGTATGGGTCACCAGATAAAATATGAGAAGATAGCTCTAATAATATGCTTTGATATAAGAAAAAGAAGAAATGGGGTCACCGGACTCGATTTCTTGTTACATAATAAAATATGTAAATCCAAAACACATTCTATTATAAAAGTTTCTATATCGGAGTTATCTCCCCTTATGTGGCAAATTTGAAAAATATTGAATTAAAATAAATTTTTTTTTTTTAAATATAGCCGTAAAATATGATAAAACACTTAATCATCTATATAAGAATGAAAAGTCTTACAAATGAATTACATACTACTCTCGAAATTGCGCATTTCATTAAAGAACTAGACCGATTGTTATCTGCTATTTCAAAATCCAAGATGGAGGAAGACACTCCAGCTACTTTGAAAGTACAGAGTACATACTTTATCCGTAATATCCTCAATAAAACTGCATTCTAAGTGACATTACAATTCACAAAATTATAAAAGTTTGCAATAACATAGAAACGTTTGATGTATTTACACTCTACATTATTATTCCCAATGCTCAATTACAAGGTTGGTTATATAATACTCCGACGACGGCGTCTTGAAAATGCAGAACTTTTTGATCGACAGCATAGTTTTGTAGTTTATTGGATTTCATATTTTACCAAATAGTTAGTAATTCAATTGGTACTAATTGTATATTCCAGCTTAAAGACTTGTTTTTGTATTTAAATGAAGCAGCATTCATACAAAAATATAGGCTAACAGAGAGAGAGAGAAAAAAAACGAATCTGGTTTAACTGT